AAAATGAGAAGAGGAGACTCAGGCGAGAGAAAACATTGGTTTGAAATGATTGTCGATTCCTTTTCCTTTCATATTTAAAAAAAAAAAAATCAAAAACAATTCTTTTTTTTTATTTTTGGGAGGGGGGTGGGGTCACCTGCCCCCCAGGCCACCCCCCAGGTCCGCCCCTGACCAATTCTACTATCGAATGTTAGAGATTAACCATTGACACTCAGATAGTTATTCTTGTGGAATCTCCCTAACAGGGTCTCCAACGTTTTGTTCCATAATAATACATCTACGTGTTCATTTAAGTATCACCACACTTTACTTTGTGGGATCAATTACTTACTTCACAAGTAAGAAATGTCACACGTGATGGTCTATCCTTAATAACGATATTCATATCTCATTATTTCTTACGATCATGGATAATTTAAGATTCAATAATATATAATTTCTATCTCACAATCATAACTCCATGTGATTAACAAATAATTAAGATTCAAATCTACAAACTCTATTATTTAATTTAATTGAATATTAATTAAATAAGATATCTAACATAACAATGTATCAATTATATATTAGAAGTGTTTATATGGAAAGTCGATTGAACCTAGAGCATAACACTTGCAATGCTGACGTCACTTTGATTGCTTCATGTAATTTATCTTTGATCTTGTTCGTCCAACTAGCTCTGGAAATGGACATGGCCTTCAATGTGTTCCGAACAAAGGCTTCAATAATAATAGAAAAGGAACAAGATCGATCAATCCTCACATTTGAAATTTTTGGTTGTCTCCATAGTCCATATATGAAACTCATCAATAATAATGCTTCGATAAAATTGCTATGATCCTTTGAGAAATTTACCCCAACGAAGTCAGATACGACTTGCTCGTGATGCTATTTTGATGAGTGCAACACAAAATTCTTGCACCTGGATTGGAGATCACTTTGAATAAAATGAATAGCTACTTTACAATGGCAATTTTAGCCGTTTCTTCGTATGCCTTAGAATATGTCATTCCCAATGGAAATAATTTTTCACACATTTTATTGTAAAAATGCATTTTGGTATAATAGATTGTGATGGAGAGTGTGTGGTTAAAAAATATAGAAAAATTTTGAGTTTACATGTAACATTATTTTATTAAAAAATGTGCAGTTGGAACGAAGAGAAAGAAAAATGTATAATAGCCATTTCCTCTCCTATCAAACTTCCCAAACCCAGCCCCCTGGGGCACATCCAAGTTGGCAAAGGATGGGCACTGTTGGGCTTGCAACCTCAGGGTGGAGAGTTCTATTCCTGAATGGAGCAGTTGAGTATTGTAATACTCAATTTGAGTAGAGCAGTTTGGTGATGTAATATCCAAGGAAGAAGGCTCCATTGGGGTCAGGATTATAAAAGGTGCACAAATCCTGGTCAACTTGGACATATCTCGCGGTTAACCTCCACCCATCACTGAGGTTGGGGATTGGTGGTCCAGAACATAGTCTGGTGTAAGCTAAAATAGCTGGATATTCCAAAAAAGAAAAAAAAAAGTATATGGGCTGACTACAAATAGGGACCCCACACGAGGGTCAAATCAGAACAAAGTACAAAAATCAAAAAAGGGAAAATTGCAGCAGTGGTACCTAATATTTTCAATTTTTATAAATTTTACCATAACCTTCAATTTGTACTAATTGGATGCCCAACTAGTTCGATTCCTGGTGGGAAAGCTGTGGTGGTTGTGGCCGTGATAGTGGGGGCTCTGATTTTTGGTTTGGGAGGAAGGAGATAAATAGTTTTCTTTTCTTTTTCTTTTCTTCTAGTTATTTTAATTGTTTTATGGGATTAAATAAAAAATTTATCATTTTATCCATTTTAATTTGGTCAAAATCTAATTTCTTGGTTAACTATCGATCAAATGGATAGTTTTTATCCAGTTGGACTCTAAATGCATATTTATGAAATGTTAGAAACTTTCGTTGGCACAAATTGAAAATTAGGGTAAAGTTTACAAAAATTGAAAAAATTATGATTCGCTGCTTCAATTTTCCTTAAAAATAAATAAATATAAATCCCTTTTTCTTGTGTCTCGTGAGAAGCCTGACACCTTTGGAACAAGAATGGTCAAGTTATGAAACAGCTGTAATAACATAAAACAAACAGAGACTACCTCTGACTGGTTGTGTCCTTTACTTTAGTACAAAACAATAAAGAAATAATAAAGACAGCAAAGTCAACAATGGGAGGCCAAACCCCAATGCCTTTGGTCTCTTGGCACCCATTCTCGCCTGCACCAACGAATATTACCCCATGGCTCCATAACACCTGTTACTATTTCCTTTTTCTTGTTATTTTCTCCTTTTGTGATCTTTACATATATTTATATTTGTTTGATTTATACACAACCATAGTTGTCTGCGTATGGGTTATTTTAGCAGCATAGTCAAATCATATCAGTAGCCCACGGATTTTTTTTCTTGATTTGGGGATTGGTGGATCGGTAAGTGGGTTTTTTATTTTAGGATTTCCATGTGGTGATTTCGGTTATTTTCTTGTTTCTTGAAGAAAAATTGAATATTGAATACGTTTCTTATTTGGATTTTGATTATCAAGAACCTTTCTTCTTTTTTTCTTTTAAGTTACAGGTTGTGGATTTTCAACTTAAGTAGTACGAGGTAGATGTTGAATTGTAGAGGAGAGTGAGGTGGGGCTTCTGAATTATATGGATAATTTATGCTGTTTCCCTCAGGTGAGATTATTGTTGACTGCTGTGATATTGAGAGATTTTGCAGTTCAGCCATATTCATATTTTAAATTTCTTTTAGGCTTTGACACGAATTTGTGATTATCAATATATAGTTTGTGCATTTTTTTTTTTCAAGTTTTCTCGAGGTTTTTGCTGAACTATGAGGAAGTTCAATTTTGATTGTGGTATAATTTCCTTGACATGTCCTTGGAATCCTTAAAGTGTGCTTATTACATGGGTTATGTCTGTATGAACGAGGGTTAATGACTTATGAGTTCAGATATATGTCTTTGGTATAGTCACGAATTATTATTACATAGGATATATGTGGAGGTGCAACTATCATAGAGAAACCGAGGAGGGAAGAATAGTTTGTTTTCATGTATGAGAGTTGATGCTCGATTTGAAAATGAAATTATTGGTGAAGAGAGGCCCTCATGCTTCAACTCTTTGATACTTATCTGGAGTGGTTTAAAAATCAAATAAGAGACTCCACCTATATGAATTCTGTTTTCGACAGAAGCACAGACTCATAATTGGGTTAACAATTAACATAGAGATCATTTTTTTGTTTTTTCCTTCTACTCATATCTGCACCACTAGTACTTGTCGCAGAGCTTTGTCCTGTTCAACAATTCCCTGTTTGGAGATTGGCCTTTGATTTCTGTGTTTATTTTATTCTAATTCCGAGAGAGGAATTTGAGTAAGGAAGGAACTAGATTTGCTTCTTCAACATGTGAATTTTTTTCGCTTCAGTTATTCTTTATTTCTTCTATAAGATTCTGGTGAATTTCAAAGGTCAAGTTCTCCTTTTCCTTTAGCTTTCAGGAGGACGTTCTTCTTGCGGCTCTGGGAAGGGAAGAAGCCAGCAGGGACCTGTCAAATATGGATTCAGTTTAGTAAAAGGAAAAGCAAGTCATCCTATGGAGGATTACCATGTTGCTAAATTTTTACACACGAATGGTCGTGAGTTGGGACTATTTGCTATTTATGATGGACATCTAGGTGATAGTGTTCCAGCTTACTTACAGAAGCATCTGTTTTCCAATATTTTAAAGGAGGTTGATTACTCTATGAAAATCACGTTTCTACTATGTGGTATATTTTTATAAAAGAATAGTGTTGTTTGATAAAATTGATATAATTACTCCTGTAACTTTAAAAAAATGGTGTGTTAAAAATGATTTGTTTTAAGTGCTGGGAAAAAGGTATCCAATTAGTTTTTTCACTGCATTGAATCATTACAGGACGACTTTTGGTCTGATCCAAATACTTCTATTGCGAAAGCCTATGAAAGAACCGATGAGGCAATTCTCTCGCATACTCCTGACCTGGGACGAGGTGGGTCCACTGCTGTAACTGCAATTCTTATAAATAGTCGACATCTGTGGGTAGCCAATGTTGGAGATTCACGAGCGGTCCTTTCCAGAAAGGGGCAGGCTATGCAGATGTCCGTTGACCATGAGCCCAACACGGAGCGGGGTAGCATTGAAAACAAAGGTGGATTTGTCTCTAACATGCCAGGTATTGTGATATATAGATTATTTTGTATTAGTCCTTGCAATTATCCACTAATCTGTATTAATGATATTTCTTCTAAAAGATGTGGATTAACCCCAGGTTTCCAATTGCAGACGTGCGACATCACCCTAAAGATAAAAAGAGTCACACAATGATGATAGAAATTAGAAATATTACTCTATCCTGCATGCACTGTTGACTTCAGTGACTTGAGAAATATATTCTTTAGACCAAATAATGGGTGGCGTTGTGCAATTCCAGGATCTTATCATTGTCTAAAATGGGAACCTCAAAAATTTGCATGAATTTTATAATGTGATGTTATTGAGTTATAGCTATCTCATGTATATCGCTGAAATAAGCATTTCAGATTATCTAGAACACGTGTGTCATATTGAATCTGCTCTGAGACAGCTTATCTCAACTGGAGACCAGGCATAGTGACCTAACCTGGGGAAATCCAATTAGTGCCATTCTCGTAACTTAAGATTGAACTATGCTTATTTCTCTCAACTTCTCAATGCAGGGGTCTGATTTTATATGGTCATGTCAAAAATATTTCTTTTGGTTTAAATATGTGTGGTGTCTTTTAATTCTGACGGATGTATAGTTCATTCTCTTAGAAAGAGTTAAATCTATGTTGGATCTNACTAAGCAAATGTGCATTGCACGTTACTTGCACCTAGTATATCAATAACTGTGAAAGAATCATTATTTTATCTTTTCGTTACGTATTAATATATTCTTTTTTTTTACATAGGAATCCACAGCCGCTACCCATCGCGCAGACTCGACCACCCCGAAGGGGCTGTGGTCCGACCACAGTGAATGCGTACTATGTAATCCCCGTTCCATGTGTAGCAACTTGCAAACCACACGGGACAGAACCGCACTAGGCAAGCCCTGGAGAATTGTTTGTCACTGGTGATAAAGAGCACTTATATTGAATAATATCTCAATATGTTTGAAAAAAACATAAAATTATCCTTATTTATAATATTACCATATAATATATAAGTCAAAAAATTGAAAAAATAAAAAAAGGAGAAGGAACCCCTTCTTCCCCCCCACCCCAATCCAACCCAACCCAAGCCAATGACATCTCATCTTCTCCTCCCACGACCACGACCGTTATCGACCACCATCACAAACACAGCTACTTCGTCGACATTGTGGATTATCTCTTACCTTCAAAGCACTGCCAATATTACTCCTCAAATTGGCACCCAACAAACAGAAATTGGCCATTTTTTACCACTACTTTTCCATTTAACACCATTATACAACCTCATCGTTATCACGACTTCCATTGTCTAAAGCCATTTTAACCACCTTCATCGCCACGATCGAGACCCAGCACCACCACTACCTCCTTCATTGTTCAGATTTTTTTTTTCCTTGTAATTTTGTGAGTTTTAACTATAGATATGACACATCTAATTTTTTGTATGAAATTAGTTTTTTGGGGGTGGTGATAATGTTTTCGGGTGGTGGTGGTACAAATTTGGTGCTCGTAAACATGAAAGTGAAGGTGGCCGTGCAGATTTGGTGGGGTGTGTGTAGAAGTGGAGGCTGGGGTGGGCGAGAGGGGTAGGGTTGGGGAAGAAGGGGTTCCTTTTCCATTTTTTATTCTTCCATTTTTTTGAATTATAATTTATATGATAATATTATAAAGTTACCATTTTACCCTGATTTGATTGGTAAAAAATGGTTGGATTTTAATTTTTTGGGTCAAAACCGATGGCATCTTTGACTGAAACCATCCAAGAGGCCTCACTTACAACGTTTGAAAATATTCGAAGTGACAGCTGTAATAAATCAAAGATTTGAGAAAAATCTATTAGTATTTTAAAGATTTGGGGCTTTTGCTGTATTTATCCCTTTTTATATTATAAAATAATCATTTAAAGGGTGTCTTAACAATAAGAGCATGTTTGTTTCCTATTTTATAATAAGAACGTATTTTAAAAATTAAAATAGTAAATTAATAGAGAATGCGTGGTTAAAAAATAAGGAAGAATTTTAGATTTGAGTGTAATATTACTTTATTGAAGAATGTGTGGTTAAAAAGAAGAGAGAAAAAATATATTTTGAAAATAATGAGAATCTAAATAAGATGGTTAATTACATAATAATATTTAATTTGGATAGCTAATTTAAATATCAATTTTTTTTTTTTTTTATGCAAAACATGAATACTCAAGCCAATATTAAAATATGTAAGTTCATCTTTTATTCTGTCCTCAATCCCGATTCAAGAAGGACTATCAAATGTAAACATTCGATTACATTTAATATCGAAAGAACACCCAATCTAAATAAAAGAAAAGATCTAACAATTGGTGCATATTCCAAATTCGAAGCAAGAACTGCATTCTATGTTCTGTTTTAACATGTTTGAGTGTATCTAGTCGAACTCAGTTCAGTCAAACTCGCAGAGGAGAAAATTAAATGCATTAAGAAACCCAAATGCACTTCTAGGGGAGAAGAGTAAAGAAATTGCTAAAAACAAGTAAATTCATGAAAAATTGTTAGTCTTCACCCTCATTTTAACGTTGCATTACCTTTTTTTTTGCATTCAAATACTTGTAAAATCCCATCTGAACCCCCTGCAGCCACCAGTGTGCAGCGGTCGTCCCAGGTTTGCCGCCAGCTAACGCTGCTAACAAAATCCCGGTCACATCCATGTCCACCGCCACCGCCTGCAGCCACCGGATCAAATCCCTGAACCCATATGGGCTGACCCCATCTTTTGTCATATACAAAAACTTGATTATTTTCTGAGCCACAGCATAATAATCCTCCACCCCTCCAAACTGATAAACCCACAAATCTTCTGCTGTTTGTGTGCCCTTTGTACGTTCGGATAATCCGATTATTTTCAGAATTCCACATCTTCAAGCAGCCATCAATGGCAGATGTTATAATAGTCTGAAAATCAAGAAATTTAATGTATGTAACTGCCTTTTGGTGCCCATCAAATACAAAAAAGGGGTCAGCCATTCTTCTTATATCATAGCCGTAGACTTTGCTATCGGCACAACCCACCGCCACCAATGCGCCGCCGAACGGATTGAATTCTACACAACAAACTGGGCTGGGCGCGGTGGTATTCGGTTGCACCGCGGCCAAGCACTTCCCTCCGTCGCCGCAACGAGGGTCCCACATCTGCATGGTGCCATCATCCGATCCGGATGCACCCAAAATGGGATCCCGATGCGAATAGTCCATGCTCCATACTCTTCTCCCGCCATGCTCATCCCTCTCAAAAACAGGCACTCTTCTCTCGAGATCATATTCCATTACAACACCATCGTAATCACCCGATCCCAGGACCCGCCCGCCCGACCCGGGCTTCCACCGAAGGCTGCTGAGCTTCGCCGGAGTACATATATAATAATCACACGCAGTAGCATGATCCAGAAATGTTACATCGTGAAATATTGAACTCTCTTCATATGGCAAAAGGGATTTCAAACTGTAAATTCGAATCTTTCTTGCTATTCCACCAGTGGCTAGAAAATTATCACTGGGGTCGAATTCTATAACACCAAGTGTATCAGAAACAACTCCTCCATTAACGGCGGAGGAAGAAACTACAGTTGAAAGATTGAATTCCCACTCACATCTGGCTCTTTCTTCCTCTGGTTGCTTTCCTCCATTTTCGAATTTTTGTCCCGTTTCTGGGATTTCTTTGTTGGGTTCTTCTTGGTTTTGAAGCAGAAAATGGGGAGAAAAGTTTTTCATTGCCCATTCATATGGAATTGATGCGACTGTCGGGTAGCAGAGGAGAAAGTTGGGAGTTTTTTTGGCTTTCCAACCAATGAAAGGTTCCTATGGATTATGGAACCTAACTTACTTCTGTATCCACGTATCAAGTTGATAAATATGATTATTCCTTTTATCCTATATATATTTTCTTCTTTTATTTCATTTTAAAATAACAATTTTCCATGATTGCCCCCTAACAATCATGCCTCTTTCATATACACGTATATATTTTTGTGCTTGTGCGAAATTAATTATGCACCATTGGATATCTCTTTCAAAATCTTGGATTTTTGTTTTTACATATTCGAGTGTGATAGTCAATACTCATAAAATGATAGAATAATACAATGTACCACTTGGGGTGCGAGAGGTGGAGCTATGAGGGGGTTGCGACAACCCCACAACATTATTCAAAATTAAAAAAAAAAATGAATTTTTTTATATTGTCTTTATTTGGTCCCTAATTATTTTCAAAATACATTTTTCTCTCTTATTTTAAACCACACTTTCGTCAATAAAATAATATTACACGTAAATTCAAAAAAATTCCTTATTTTTTAATCCCACATTTTCCATCAAAATACTATTTCAAAATACATTTTCATAATAAAAGAAAATGGGGCACAAACGGGTACATATAATATATATTTTTGTTCCCCAACATTTTTTTCGCCCCCATACGTAGATACTAGTCTAGATGGCGTGATATCTACGAACTCATTGAATAGGTTGTAAAGGATGAAACTGGTAGTAAAAATAAGGATTTAACATGAAATGCTTTAACCTCGATTCATATCGAAAGAATTCACCAGCTTTTATCTAGACAAGAATGACTATTCATGAAAGAAACGCATTTTTTAAATTGGTAAGGAAATTAGGGCAAGATTCAGTCCAAGCCCTAGTATAAAAACTGGGAAACCTAAATAAGATAGAAAGTATTATGGGTTGCTAATTTTGGAAAGTGATCCGGGCCCACCATCCTATAAATAGAAAATATGAATTGAGAATTTGAGACAATTCTCCTCTTGAACTTAATATAATTTTAATATCTAAGAGTTATTTCTTTTGAAAATCTTTCTTTGTGAGATGAGCGAATGCAGTATACACGAGATAGAGTAAGTAAATAACTTTCTCATCTGGGCTGGCTTGAAATCAGAATTTGGAATGTTGAGCCGCAAGTGTTGACCAATTTTATGAGATGATGGCCCCACTTTTTGTAATGTAACGGTAAAAAAAAGCCATTTTCCCCTGATTTTAAGCGCTAGCAGACACAGTGCTAATTTTTTAATAACTTGATTTTTAAACGAGATGGTTTGATGATTTCAATCACAAACAAAGCTACTTGCAAGTCTTCAAAAGGTGGGTTTTTGGGTATTTTACATGACATCAACTAAGGAAAATAAAAAATGAAAAATGGAAATTTGTAGGTATTTATTGTATTGTAATCAAGTGGATGAGGAACAAGAGAAATTGTGGTGGTTTCTGTACCTCAAGTCCATGCCCAAATGATGTGGACACGGGTTGTTCGAAGCCACTGTCTTACGTGGTCTAAGCCAAACCTTTTGTCCCTTCTAACGATGTCTCTCAATTTACTTGTCTAAAAGTAGATCGAAGATACCTAACTAATCACCAATAAATGTGAATCCAACTTGCTTAATATGGTGTTGGGTGTATCACAAGCCATCAATCTTGTTTATGTTTTAACAATCGGTAGACTTGAAAATTCTCGCTTAGGCAAGTTATACAATCTTATAAAAAATTAATTAATTCCAACAGTTTAATATTGTTGCAAAAAATTAATATCATTATTTGTTTTTATATAAATGACATATTGACATCAATCCCTTGTTTGATATGGATTGAATTTATATTTTAATATAAGTCAAAATCGGCAATTAATATTAATTGGTCTGTTGGTGAGAACTAAAATCAAATTTTTAGTAAATTTTGATAATTTTTTTGATTAAATGTATAGTTGAAAAGTTATGGATCTCATTAAATATGTGGTTGAAATTAATTGTCGACTTTGATTGCTATTAAAATCTAAAATTTAATCACCGTCAAATATATAGCTCTTGTTTGATTCTTAATCTTTTTCAAAATATATTTTTCTCTCAACCACACATTTTTCAATAAAATAATATTATATACAAATTCAAAACTTTCCTTATTTTTTAACCACATATTCTTCATTAATCTGCTATTTTAAAATACATTCTACAAAAAGAAGAAAAAAAAAAGAAGGAACTTCAACGCTCAAAAAGGATTCTCATAGCCTTGCGACATTTAGAGCCTGATGACAACCGTCTAATCTAGTCTAGTCTAGTCTAGTCAGTGGGCCTTGAATCCTTCATTCATGTGTCTCAACCTCCCTTTTATCTCCATGCTTTCTATGTAATAAATGCTCAAATCAAATTACTATCCAAATGTATCAAGTTGTTATGAATGTCCCACGCATTGTAGACGTTTGAGAACTTTCTTTTTTTTTTTTTAAATAATTTTCCATTTTTAAGGTTTAACCCTTGTTTTGTGGCCGTGGCCATTTTTTTTCTTTTAAATAGTGAATTTTTGGAGAATTTGTAGTTAAAAAGTAAAAAAAAAAAAATTTAGTTTAGGTGTAAAATATTTTATTGTGTAATGTATGATTGAAAGTGAGAACGTAAAAAAAAAAAAAAGGATTTTAAAAGGATAGAAAATAAACAAGGGTTAACGTGGTTAAAGATAGAATGGTATTATAAGCAAGTATGTGGCTTCTTGTTTGCCAACGTGTGTCTCTATCACATATGGGATTTCAATTTAAGATAAGATACAGAAGGGGACCACAAATTAAAACTGACAGCTGCCATGACAAGCCTATCTCAATCATGCTATATTTACCTCATGTTTTGTATAAATTTGATACCACGTTCTCACTTTTAACAATATTTTTTGTCAATCAATGATAAGATTTTGGATTTTGTTACAGGTACACAGATGTTTACCGACCCCACGCCCCCCGCTCACAATGGGGGGCCCGCATGCTTCGACTTGAAATAATGTCATGGAGAATTAGTTTAAATTAGTAAACTTTTAGGTTTTTTTTAAAAAAATTTTAATGGTGAAAAGATGGCTTTTTCTGAAAAGAAAGGGGATGGGTTGGAGAATTAGAGTGATAAATTCAAACTTTTGCTTTGCATTACCACTTTAGTTTAGTCAATTGAATGTAATTGATACTTGTGAGACATAGATCGGTGCTTAACACCAATAATGTCCAATAGTATTACTCTTCCTTATATAGATGCCCATGCGGATTTATACAAATTAATAAAGGAATCTTGCTTGACTAGTTGAGGGTTTTTAAGTGGGATGCACTAGAAGTCCCCATCCTCTTTTAAAGGGAGCAAGCCAATTGGATCCCCAGCCAACTTTTTTGTGATATTTGAATCATTGGTCTTCTTAGTTTTGAAAAACATGAATTTTTCCACGAGTTCTGTTGAGGGGTGGGTTGGTTCAGTTTTCAGGCCAACCCGAAACCAAACAAAATTCTGTTTGATAAGGGAAAATTAAGCAAAACCCCACCTTTAAACTTTACACTTGACTTATTAGCACAAAACATCTCAATGATTCAATTTTTTTGCATTTTCACTCTTATTTCAACGTTTTATTGTGGAAAACGTCATTCCGCCCTTCTGTTGTGAGTTCCACCATTAAATGCACACTGGACCCACTTTTAATTTAAAACTCGAAGGGTAAAATGATCAGATCACTTCAAAAAACTTTTCTTCACCATAACATACACCCGATTTATCTTCCATATTCTCTACAGTTCACGTCTCGCACGCATCCATTTTCTTCATCCCCTTCTCCTATCATATAAAATTTCTACTCTCGTAGAGGGTTATTCTCTACATGCAGTGGAGGGCGAACTGGTGTGAACTGTGAAGGTATTATTTTGCTGTGGGTCCTTTATTTTTTATTTTATTGTTCGAAATTTCAAGATATGAGTGATCGAAGATTCCTTGTCATTTTTTATGGAATTTATTGTTGTTTTTCATAGAATTTTGTATCGAATCAAAATGCTTCCTTCGTTTATTAGAGAGCTCGACGACAAGACACCCACATACGGTAGGAACGTTGTACATTCATGATCAGCGTTTTCCCTTCATTAATTTTGTTGCCCCGTGGAATTGGAGATTCGAACTTTATTGAAATGAGAAATGGGAAAAAATATTTAACACTGTGAGGGAAATTTTTGGGGATTTGTAGGCATTCCTCTAAAATTAAATGAAATTGGTTGGGAATTGAAATTTCTGTGGTTTTGAGCATTATATGATGTGTAGTTCATTATTGCCCTGATTCGATCAGTGCGTCTTTCTTCATTTCCATACCACATTTCACTGTTTATTCCCTCATCTCCATATTCTTTTGCATGCAGGTGCAAATTCAGGCTACTCCACTATTGAATTACATCATGAAGGCCACTTTTATGCTAAGCCAAACAATCTGGCATACAAACATGGATTTGTTCTTTTCTTCTATTTCTTCCATGCCTCACTATTTACGAAAGGTAATTTGACGGAGTTCTTAAATGCGGTTGGTAATGGTTTGATGTTGGAGTTTTACTATAAAGAACGAAACATGAGTCTAGGGAATGGATTGATTAGATTGGAGAGTGAGGAGGATATTAAATAAATGTCTACGAATAGAGATGGGCATCCAGTAGTATAGATATATGTTGTAGCCTCATTGCACTTGCATGCATTGATCTCAGAAGTTGATACGCAATGCGATGAACCACAAACATTTGAAGGTTGTTACGTACCTTCTCTGGAAGAAAACAAAGGTGATGAGCCTGAAATTGATTGGTCAGATTAGTTTTTTCATGAGAATAATGAAGAGTTGTGGTCACATTACGAGGAAACCCTTCAACACCATTATGAAGAAGATCAAAATATGGGTAATATGGGTGTTGAAGATGATGAAGTCGAGGTTGAAGC